CTGAAACCACTGTTTTTTTGAGCTCTTGGAGTGAGCAAGAGCTCTAAGTGTGAGCAAGAGCTCTTCGTGTGAGCAGCCAGTCACCTTACGAATGGATTACAGCTAAACAGAGTTCTCTAGCCAAATAAATTTACAAAAGCCTTTGGTTAAAAAAAAAGTTGCTTTAGTTTCTTTTTTGCAGGACTTGCCTAAGCCTTTAATATACTAATACCCATCTATAGAGGTGTAAAGAATATACAGTTTTTCCAAATATATTTGTTGAAGGAACATTTGTATTCCAAGAGTTTCTTAAAGGCCTAGCATTTGATGGAACATATTTTGAAAATACCTTTTAATAAAATTAAACTAGGGAATCTCCATGGGCTCTTTCAGTTCTATAGACTCTGAATCAATGATGCATAAGGAACATTGTGGCAGGGGAGTTGTTGGCACAGAAAAATCTGTTATTGTTTAGGTAACTCTGTCTGAAGAATAAAGACGCACTGTATTTTGGTTACTAGAGAGTTGTTTTTTATAATGGAAAAAGGGGAAAACAGAAGACTCTATCATTCTTTCACTTATTCCATCATTGTGAGGATATTTTTTGAGACTTACAATGTTCCAGGCATTATTCTAGGACTTGGAGGATTTTTTTTTTTAATTGTGGTGAAAATATACGTAATAAAACATGCCAATTCTGCAATTTCTACCTGTATGATTCAGTGACATTGAATACATGCTTCAAGTTGTGCAACCATTCTCACTACCCTTTTCCAAATCATTCTACCACCATTAACATAAAAGCAATGCCCCCTAAAAAAAACTCCCCTTCCCCTTCCCTCCCACCCTCGGTAACCAATAATAATCTTTGTTTTCTATATATTTGCTTATTTCATATAAGTGAGATCATGCTGTATTTGTCCTTTTGCAACTGAATTATCTCACTCAGCATAATGTTTTCAAGGTTTGTCCATGTGTGGCATGCATCAAGACTTCATTTCTTTTTATGGCTGAGTAGTATTTCATTGTGTATATGTACCACATTTTGTTTATCCAGTCATCTGCTGATGGACATTTCAGTTGTTTCCACCTTTTGGCTATAGTGAAAAGTGCTGCAATGAACTTTTGTGTACAGGTTTCTGTTTGCAATCTTTGAGTTTTAATGATGGATAAAGCAATTTCTATCCCTGCTTTCAAGAATCTTAAAGAAATCAGCTACAGTGACCCCTTTGCTCTGAGTCTGTGCATCAAAAGCCTCAGTTTTAACTCAGTTTCCCAAGCACAATAATACCTGGGCAAAGGTGGTTCTGCACAGAAAATTGGAGAATTCCGGTCATGGATTTTATTGCATTTTCTTTTGTAATGATCTAGATTCAGATTCTTCTATAATTAAAGCAAATTGTTAGAGTATATAAGCAAATATACACAGGCACACGATATGCAGCAGATATACAAACATACACACAAACCATATGCATAGATCCCACACAGACAGTCTTTATCTGAATAATGTTAAAAATAAAATGCTACCATATAATTACAATATATAATGCTACTGTTATGGATTGAATTGTGTCCCTCAAAAATGTGGGTCATCTTGGCTAGGCCATGATTCTCAATATTGTGTGATTGTCCACCATTTTGTGATCTGATGTGATTATCCTATGTGTTGTAAATCCTAACTAATCTCTATGATGTTAATGAGGCAGGATTAGAGGCAGTTATGTTAATGAGACAGGACTCAATCTACAGGATTAGTTTGTATCTTGAGTCAAGTCTTCTGAGATATAAAAGAGAGAAGAAAGCAGAGCAGAGAGGGACCTCCCAGCACTAAGAAAGAAGAGCCAGGAGTGGAGTGCATTCTTTCGACCTGGGGTTCCTGCACTGAGAAACTCCTAGACCCAGGGGAAGGTTGATGACAAGGACATTTCCCTAGGGCCAACAGAGAGAGAAAGCCTTCCCTTGGAGCTGGCTCCCTGAGTTAGGACTTCTAGCCTACTAGACTATGAGAGAGTAAACTTCTGTTTGTTAAAGCCATCCACTTGTGGTATTTCTGTTATAGCAGCACTAGATAACTAAGACAGAATTTGGTACCAGAAGAGTGAGGTGCTGCTCTAACAGATACCTAAAACGTGGAAGTGGTTTTGAAACTGTGAATTGGTACATGCTGGAAGAGTTTTAAACTGCCTAATAGTAAAAGCCTAGATTGCCTTGAAGAGACTGTTGGTGGAATTATGGACACCAAAGACAATTTTGGTGAGGGCTCAGAAGGAAGTAAGAAGAACTGTAACACTGGAGATGGCGCAGAAGGCGAGAAGCAGTGGAAGAGAAACAACAGAAGCAGAACCAGGAGACCAGCACAAGATGGCACAGGAGCTGACCCATGGAGCAAGAGAGCTGAATGCCTTCAGACAGGAGGCTTCCTGGTGGAGCAGAGTGCCTCCAGGCACTTATAGGTGGATCTAGGCTTGCCAACCCATAGAACAAGAGAATTGGCCTAGGCTTACCAGCAGAGTAGGGTGCTTCCAGGCACTTATCAGTAGAGCTGAAGAGCTTTGTATCACTTGCTCAAGTAGGGGAGAGGCCCGGCCAGCCCAGTCCAAGATGCCCAAGGGGCCAAGAGGCCAAGGAACCAGGAAACAGAAGTTGAAGAGAAAAGAAGCACAGGAAGCAGAGCTGCCTCAGTCTCAAAGGGTAAAGCCACCACCTCTGGGGTCTCAAAGGGTGGAACCATGGCCTGCTGGTCTCAAAGGGTGGAGCTACGGCCTCCTAGGTTTCAAAGAGTCAGATCTTCACCAACTCAGTTCCGGAGTGTGAGGCTGCCATTCACAAGTGCCACGGGGATGGAGCTGGATTCACTGCACAAAACTGAGGGTGCAAGGCTGCCATGCACAAGGAGCAGAAAAATGGGGACTGCCAGCACTGAGGGGGTAGGGTCACCACTCAGATGGACTAGGAGAATGGGGCTGCTCAAATCTGAGGGAGCTGAGTTGCTGGCCCAGTGGGCCTGGAAAGAAGACCTGAAGCCCAGAGCCTAGTGGCCTCCACCCAGAATATGGAGAGTGTGGCCAACACCCAGATTCTGGAGGGCAGAGCCATTGCCTAAATAGTCTCAGAGAACAGAGGATTATTTTTAAGTCTTGAGAGCTAATGTAATGTGTTCTGTTGGGTTTTGGACTTGCTTGATGCCTGTTATCTCTTCTTTCCCTCCAATTTCTCCTATTTGTAATGGAAATGTCTACCTTATGCCTGTTCCACCATTGTATTTTGGAAGCAAATAATTTTTATTCTAGATTTCACAGATGAAGAGAAATTTTGCCCCAGGATGGAATTTGAACTTTGAATTGATTTGAGACTTTTGGGATGATACGAATGGGTGAATGTGTTTTACATGTGGAGAGGATGTGAATTTTGGGGGGCTAAAGGGTGGAATGTTATCGACTGAATTGTGTTCTCCAAAAATGCATGTCAACTTGGCTAGGCCATGATTCCTAGTATTGTGTGGTTGTCGTCCATTTTGTGATCTGATGAAATTACCTAAGCGTTGTAAATTGTAACTTCTATGATGCTAATGAGGCAGGATTAGAGGCAGTTATGTTAACGAGACAGGACACATTCTGCAGGATTTAGGCTGTATCTTGAGTCAATCTCGTTCCAGATTTAAAAGAGAAAAGAGAGCAGAGAGGAGAGCATTAACACCAAGCAAGAAGAGCCAGGAGCAGAACGCGTCCTTTGGACCCAGGGTCCCTGTGCTGAGAAGCTCCTAGACTACGGAAAGATTAATGACAAGGACATTTCCCCAGAGCCAACAGAGAGAGAAAGCCTTCTTTCTCCTGGAGCTGGCTCCCTGAATTTGGACTTCTAGCCTCCTAAACTGTGAGAAATTGAATTTCTGTTTGCTAAAGCCATCTACTTGTGGTATTTCTGTTATAACAGCACTAGATATCTAAGACACCTCCTGAACTGTGAGAATAAATTTTGTCAGAGTCATCTGCTTGTGGTATTTCTGTCATAGCAGCACTAGATAACTAAGACAGCTACAATATATGTTGTTGTTAGATTCTGTCAAGTCAATTTTCAACTCATAGTGACCCCAGGTGACTGAGTAGAACTCCTTCATAAGGTTTTCTAGGCTGTAATCTTTACAGAAGCAGATTGTCAGGTGTTTCTCCCACTGAGCTGCTGGGTGGGTTCAAGTTACCAACTTTTTGGTTAGCAGCTAAGCATTTAACTGTTGTGCCACCTGGCTTCTTATGTATATGCATGTGTGTGTCTATATATATATAGATACATTTAGATATAGATACATAAGCATTGTTCAGAACAGCTGTATCAGAATAACCAAGGATGCTTATTAAAATGAAGATTCCTAGGCTTCAAATATTCTGATGCAGTAGGCCCAGGAATTAGCATTTTAAACTCTTGTCATACAACATACTTATGCACATTAACATTTGATAACTTCGGGTATTGAAACTCTGAGATGGAAATTGAGAATTGGAGAACTTTGCCAGGTGGCCCAAGATTGGACAAAAGGGACTCATGATGGCTGGAGCAAGGGTTGGCAGGAAAGAAGAAAGGTACCCAATCTCCCAGTGGGATAATGTATAGAAAGCACAGTGAATACTCCAAAAGTGAAATTCCCTCTCCTCCATTATGCCTCAAAGAAAACACAACCCACAGCTGAGCAGCCTAGGGGCTGTTCACTGTCCCCTCCTCAGATTGGGATATTTTGTTTTGTTCTCATGTAGTGAACTCACTTTGAGGACACTCCTGGATTCTCTACAGAGAGATGGACGTTTCCTCCTAATTTTAACTACTTACTGTTAAATTAGATTCACAAATCAATAAAAATTCAAATGTCAGTATAGAGGTTCGTGGGATTTTTCTTCTCACGTTACAAAACAGTTGCAGATCAAAACTCTAGAAGCCTCCATCACCACACTTCCTGTTTGTAACTGAAAAAAGTACACACAGAAGATTTTAAGAAATAGCAGAGAAAAAAAAAAAAAACAAAAAAACTGAGGCACAGATAGAGGCAAGTTTTACTGCCACTCCAAACTTCACAAAGCAACCTTACTTAGAAAAGAAAATTCTGTGGAAGCATGTTTAATCCATAAAGTTGCCTTATGATTACATAAGAATTTTTCTGAAAAAGAAGCATGTCAGGTAAGTGGCATTTTATATTCTTTTGTTCCATTCCTATACCTAAAAATTCACTTAATAACCTCAAAATCCGTAACAATAAGACACTTAAGATTTGAAAAGTAAACTAGTTAACACAATCAGTTTTAAAATGTGAGATAACCTTTAGTACAATTAGATGATATTTTGAAATCTATTAATGAGTATAAAACCCGTTGCCATCGAGTTGATTCTTTCTCTTAAAAGAAGGAAATTGGGACAGTGTTTAATAATATAAAGCTGATTGATGAATATAAAGTATTCATTGGTAATTATGCCATTTTTCAGTACATGTTATATTTATAGATTGTCATTGACCATGAATATTGCTCTTTAAAAATAGTTGTAAACTGGGGTAGGAATAACCTCACTCTAAATCATTAGATTTTAAACCCTGTATTATTTTCCCAGCAATTGATTTAATTGTCAACATCCAGAAACATGAAAATTTTGCAAAGGCCAGTGAAAATTCAAACGCTGTATGATGAATTGTGAGGGCTGGGTCCACATCAATTAGCTGGAGTGTCTGTTCCACATTGATGGCTCATTCCTGTTTTATTCTTTTATGTGATTTTTATTTCTTTAATAAGCTTCATTTTATTTTAAAAGAAAACATGCATATCCTGTAAAGTGGGAAAATTGTGAACTATATTAAAAAACTTACATATTTCTCACCACCTTAAAAAACCACGTTATGTTATATTTCCTTCCAATTTTATTTTTGTACATCATTCATGGTTTGCTCTTCTTAATTGGGATAATAATACACATAAAAGCTTATATTTGCTTATCTAACTAACATTATAACCATTTCTCTTTTTATGATAACTTCTGCCTAATCATTTTAATTGAATGCATAACATGATATCTATTGGATTAATTATAGTTGACTTAGTCATTTTTAATTGTTGGACATTTATATTGTACCCAGTTGTTCTTAATTCTTTAAATGACATATCAATAAACAACTCCATAACTTTTCCGATACTAAAAGTTATTTCTCAGGAAAGATTCCTATAATCAGAATTACTGAATAATAGGTTATAAACATTTAAGTCTCGTTATTGCCAAATTGCTTTTCCAAGAGTGCTGCCAATTCACCCTCATTTGATCAGTGTTTCTCCTTAACAGGCTGGTCTCATTAAAAAAATCTTTACTAATTTGATAAGCATAGTATGTTAACCCATTGTTTAATATGCATTGCTTTGATTATAATGAGGGTGAACATTTTTGCCTGGGTTTTTAAACTGTTTATAATTATATCATCTGTGAATTGTCTGATCACATATTTTGCTTAATTATTTTATTATAGTACTTTTACGATTAATATGTACAAGCCATTTAGAGAGTAAAGATATACTTTCTAAGAATTTGCTTCCCAGTGTTTCTTGCAAGATTTTAAAATCAGTTGATTGGGAAAATCACATAGGCTACATAAGTTGATGTATGATTTTCACACCGCTCCACATATTTTCCGGTTCTAGCAAAGAACAAAAGCAATTGTTGCAGTTTTGTTAGTGCCGTGCGTGAAATAGACAAAGCAGTACCATGAACAACTGCCATGAGCTGGTGCTGATAGGGAACTCAGAAAGTGTTGCAAAGTTGAAGGAAGGCAGAGAATATGACATTCAAGTATTTCCAGGATTAATAAATAAATTCTAAAGTTAGGAGGGATGTGATGACATTTCCTCACAGAATTCCTTAGCTTAGATGGCCTCTGCAAGTGCAACGCAGGAACTCCTCCACTGGCAGCTGAGACTTTCTACAATTCCACCAAGGAGATAAGAACAGAGAGTAATTGACATTAAAGCCTCATAGTGATTAAAAGCCAAAAAACTTAATGCAAAAGAAAAATAGAACCAGACGATAGTAGTTTTTTATATTTAGAAAAGTGAAGCAAAAAAGGCAATAAATAATGTTTGAACACAAAGAAAAAAATAAAATTAATTGTAGTAAAGTAAAACAAAATATGGAAAAAAGTCCCAAACCTTTCCTTTCCCTTTCTTCCTACCTATATGCTTTGTAGTCACGGCACCATCAGTAAATGTGCCAGTATCATAATTCCCACCGTGCTTCTGCAATCAAGTAAAATCAATACTAGTTGAATCAAATGATGAAAACAATCCTTTGAGCTACCATTAATTTAGTGAGAACAATGATTCAGCATTAGTTACACACTGTTGCCTAAAAAAATACCTTCATTGTCTGCTCTGTTTCGTCTTCCTCTGAGCCTCAATCACCATTTTGAGAACAACCATAGTCTTTCTTTTAGAGACTCGTAATAGGTAGGACTAACTCGTGAATCATCTTTTACACTCAAATGCTCTTTAAATTAAAGGTGGGTCAAAGGGCCAATGTATCATCATTTAATTTAGATAATATTTGGCAATGATTTTAAGAAAAGTCAATCCAGGAAAGATTGCAGTTTAAAGGTGGCAATTCTGTGAAATAAATATCCACAAATTGCTAGTTAATAATACATATCATTGTTGAGCACTTTTCTAAGCACTTTTGGTTTTATTTAAATCTCTCAACATTCCTAGATTTAAAGAAGGAGAGGAAAAAAATAACTTTTCTTCTCAAAACATTATAAGAAACATAATAAAAACCAAACATGTTGTCATAGAGTTGATTCCAACTCACTGCAACTCTATAGGACAGCGTAGAACTTCCCCATAGCGTTTCCAAGCAGCAGCTGGTGGATTCGAACTGCCAACCTTTTGGTTAGTAGCTGTAGCTCCTAACCACTACGCCACCAGGATTTACAATATAAACTAAACGAGCCAAATACAGTTAAAGAGAGGTGCATGTACAGCATGGATTTTGACAGCACTTCAATCCCGATAGGGTTTCTGCAGTTTAGCAATCCCAATTAAAGTTCAATTCTAAAAGCGACAAGGAGTCTAGCACTGGAGGAATCAACACTGTCTTAAAAACCTACCTTCCACCTCACTACCATCCCTATGCTTTCCTCAATTAAATTCCATGAACATTTTGAGAGGAGTCATGAAAGAGGGGGCCTTGATGTCATAGAGATGAGGGTTTGAATTCCAGTTTTACAATTAGCTTAGGGAGATTCAGTGGTTTGCAGAAATTCATGCAGCGAGTAAGCGACTGCTCTCATTCCATTTCTTCACACTGTTTAAAAACAGTCAGTACAAATCCTCTTATTGCTTTTGACCCCCACAGCCCATCCCCATTACAGCTCCCTCCCCAATGCACACCATTTATTCTCAAATAACCCTCCATTCATAAGGCACTCATTTAAAGTTGGTGGCCTTCAGATGTTTCATTAAAAACACTACTTTATTTACTTGAACCTGGGACTGGATTTGAGAGACACTTTCAGTGCTAATGGAGTCCCTGCATGGCATAAAGGTTAAGTGCTTACTATTAGTTGAAAGGTTGGTGGTTCAAAACCACCCAGAGGAGCCTTGGAAGATAGGCCTGGCAATCTGCTTCTGAAATGTCACAGCCTTGAAAATCCTATGGAGTGCAGTTCTACTCTGCACACTTGGGGTTGCCATGCATCAGAATCAACTCAGTGGCAACTAACAACAACAACATTCTAGGGCTAATACCTATGAATCCAATGCCTTTTAATGATGGGGATGATGCGGCAGGATAGTGGTGGTGGTGGTGGTTGTGGTGGTGGAGACTGTGGGGTAAGTGATAATGTGCCACATTCACAGAATCATCAAGAATGTGGTTGGTTCAGCACCAAACCATCACTACAGTAAAACAACAACAACAAAATTATTAGTAAAACTATTATTATTAGGTGCCACTGAGTCTGTTCTGACTCATACCAACCCTTTGCACAGCAGAAGGAAACACTGCCCAGTCCTGCACCATCCTCACAATCACTGCCATGTTTGAGACCATTGTTGCAGCCATTGTGTCAGTCCATCTCGTTGAAGGTCTTCCTCTTTTTCACTGACCCTCTACTTTACCAAGCATGATGTCCTTCTCCAGGGACTGGTTCTTCCTGATAACATGTCCAAAGTATGTGAGATGAAGTCTCACCACCCTCGCTTCTAAGCAGCATTCTGTCCGTACTTCTTCCAAGGCATATTTGTTTATTCTTCTGGCAGTTCATGGTATATACAGTATTCTTCACCAACACCATAATTCAAATGCATAGATTCTATTTTGGTCTTCCTTATTTATTGTCCAGCTTTCACATGTGTATGAGGTGACTGCAAACATCATCACTTGAGTCAGGTGCACCTTAGTCCTCAAAGTGACATCTTTGCTTTTTAACACTTAAAAGAAGTCTTTTGCAGCAGATTTACCCAATGCAATAGGTCATTTGATTTCTTGAGTAGAATTATGGACATCTTAATATTGGTACTTTTCTTTGAACTTTCTGGGGTGTCTAAAGTAAACATACACATTTTTATGGGAAGTTCCTGGAATGCAAAGAAGAGATGGCCACTTCTCTGCAAGAGTTTACAAGCCAAGGGAAGCCATCAAGAAGAGCCGTATACTATGTACTGTAAAATCATACACTTATCTCAGTTAAAGACCCCCGAAGGAGAATCAATTATGGCATGTATTTATTGACTTTCTATAGTTAATTGTTTAAATAAAGGCTTCTTCTTATCAATCAGACCTACCAGCAGTAAGGCAATATATTTACCTAGCTTGGTTTTCTTCCATAGCACAAACAACTGTTAATTACATATACCCAAAACCAACCCACTGCCTTCAAGTTAATTCTGACTCATAGCGACCCTATAGGATAGAGTGGAACTGCCCCATAGGGTTTCCAAGGAGCAGCTGGTGGATTTAAACTGCCGACATTTTGGTTAACAGCCATAGGTCTTAACCACTGGGCCACCAGGGCTCCAATTACATATGCCAAACCAAAACTACACCTGTTGCCGTCGAGTCATAGTGACACTAAAGGACAGAGTAGAACTGCCCTATAGAGTTTCCAAGGAGCACCTGGTGGATTTGAACTGCTGACTTTTTAGTTAGCA